CACGGTCTTAAGATGACATTCCGATGCAGTGTTGTGGGATTGCTGCATTAATGGAGATGCCAACCATCAGATGAGGTGTCTGTTTGGTCAGGTGAATATTAAAAATCCCATGATGATATTCTCGTGTCGTGACCAGCAATCCTTTAGGTAAATTGGTTAGCCCGGCTGTATACAAATTGGCTTCTGCATTTGTCTACGTATGTAATCATTACACTTGGCAGTAATTCCCTCTGAAATTCTTTGAGGTGTGTGAGGTTATAACCCTATATCAAATACGAGGATTATTATTGCTGTGTAACTGCAGGGTGCTTATGGATTCTACCCGAAAGTACATTGGATTCTGTTCTTGGTAATGCTGTGATCCTCTTTCACAAGTACAATAGTTATTTCATTATTCTCGTGTTACATTTAGCATTGTTCTATGTTCTTGGTCTTGGTTTACTATACACTACTTCTGCCGACATACATGGCAAACTCATTAGATTAGTTCTACTAGCAGTAAGATAGGTACAGTGGTCCACTGAACAGGACTTGTTAGTAGAGAAGCAAGGCATCCTGTGATGAAGTAGAGATTACAGCTGTAAAGTAGCAAGTGTACAGTGTAAGAGTCGTGTCCCAGAAGTCACCCATGATGGAAGGAAAGGCAATTTGTTAAGAGATCAAATGCAAAACATCAGCTGGATAGTCGATGCTTTTAAATTGATGTAGAAATTGCACTGAGTATCAAGGATGAAGAAGCTGGCTTTACTTTGATCATACAAGTAATTAACTAAGCTATTTGATGAAGATTGCAATAACCTTATAATGGGCAGGCTGAAAGTGAGAATGAGTATCCTATTAAGGAATTGATTAAACTTGAGGCTTACAAGTTGCAGGGTGGCCCTAGTTTGAATGTGGCCTGGTTGAGGGCTGCTTTGCTTAGAGCACAGGTCTCCCATGGAGGAGCACAACATACTTTGTGTGCTGTGCTTCTCGGGATGAATAGTCCATTTGCCATGCTACAAAATGGCCAGCCTCTGGGTTGTCAGGTCATCAGTGACATAATTTCCTGTATGTTGGATATTAACGAGTGTAGTAACTATTGCAGGCAGCATCACTAATGACAAAGGAAATGATGTACACATTCTTGTGCACATGCAACATACGGAAAGTGATATAAAAACAGAAGTTGCTGGGAGCACTCAGCAGGTCAGGCAGCATCTATGGAGAGAGGAAAGTGAGTTAAAGTTTCAGGTCAATGACCTTTCGTCAGAACAGTAGATGATGTGATCAGATGGTGATGTTGGTGCTTCATGTTCATCGTGCCCAACCTGTAGGAAATGTCAGCAGTAACCTGGAAGTTGGCCATTTTATGTGCTTTATCATAACACTGGATTTGAGAGTCTTGCATAATTACGGCCAGGATCTTTTTTAGGGGAGCTATTTGAAAAGTATCCTTTCCATGTATATGATTCCACAAATATGATTTGTGTAGAAATTAATAGATTGTACTAAAACAATTTTTTTGTGGGAGGTGCTCAAAAATTCTCCATTGTTGCTTTCTGTGAGAATAAGCATAAATGTCAGTCACTAGAGGGTTTACATTCCATTGAAGGGAGTGATTTTGCTCAGCCAAAAGGACCACGCAGGACTTTGTGACCTGCTGTGAGCCAAAGTTTGAGTAGATCTTAAACCTTGAGCAGAAACTCTTTGTCACTGCTCGTCTCGGGTCAGTAAATTTGGAGAATTTAAAAAATGTTGTGAAAGCATGAGTTGAAACTGTTGGATGAAAAGTATTGCTGAACAATCTGTAGAGAACAATGAAATTCCAATTTTAGGTATCGATATTACAATGTTGACAAATGCCGTCAGAACAAACAGAAAACTTGGAAGGTGATTTTTTTTTATCCCTGCTGGCATGCCCAGCCACAATCCATCCGTTATTAAATAATGATTCCGAAAATAACTTTGGCCATCTGTAAGATGCAACCTTCAGCTCAGTGTGCTTGTACTGTATTGTGCATTAGAAGGCAACATGCTAATTTGCCAGGAAATCAGCAGAAGTCTTCTGATGTGGTGGTGGTGGTGGTAGTAGTAACCCTGAGCTTAAAACATAGCCTACTCTCTGCAGACTCCCTTGCTGTAAGGTTGATAAGGACTCCACTGATATCATTAGGTCACACATGCTCTTGAGTGTGTCAGTTCAGCAGTAGTTTGGCTATGCTGGGGGGCACTTAACTATAACCTATAATCTCACATGTCAAGGTGCTTCAGAGGGAATTGCTGTCAAGTTTACATTATTAACATTGTAATGTCAACAAATTATGCTATGAGGTTCATGCAGGAGTCTTGTGTGTTGCTCTAAGGCAAGCAGGGAAAATACATTTTGCAACACTTTTCTATGCCATTTTTGCACTGCTCAAGCTAAAAACTTTTGCTTTCAGCATGATCAAATGAGTTTAAAATGGACAGACGCCAAATTTAGCTGTATTTTATCTTGTGGATATGTCCAACCATTTAGTAGAACTGATGATGCCCTTGTTCTCCTGTCGTGCAGCTTCTTTGTAAGGCATTTTGTATGGAGATTAATTTTTCTATATATAATTATATTTATGTATATATAATATATACTCCAGCCTGAGTTGCTGCCTTCAGGGTATGGGGAGGAGGAGTTTCATAATTGAAAAAAGTGAAACGGTTTATGTCTGGGACCTATGATAAGAAGCTTCACTCAGACGGTTTTCTGTATTGAAATGTTTTGTGATATGACACACGTGTTCAGAGCTTTTGTTAATCAAGCACCATTTATACTGTATCAAGAAAGTGATGGTAAAACTGAGGATCAAACTGAAGATTGAATTTAGATGGCCTATAATCTTCTATTTAGTGTTGTGCTGTGTTATAGTTCAATCTCACCCCTTTAGATGAGAAACCTCTGGTAAAACTTGTTGTGTTCTGTGATCATTCAGGAGTCGGCAATTCAGCCTGAGATTTCCATTTCCATTAAATCTATAGCCTTCCATTAAATTTTAAGTATCCAATTTACCCTCTTTTTTTCTCCAAATTTCTAAATAGCCTTATCAAACACCTGTGTCTATTTTGAGCACCTTAAATATTTATCCTTTTCTGAGGCATGTCTGATATTGGTGGTTTCTTAATTCTATATTCTCACAAAGCATGATGTGCAATGCTCCAAATGGGACCATACACAACAACATGTGCACGCCTGTTTCTCTTTTGTGGCATGTCAGGAATACATCGCCCACATCCCAGTCATGATTTTTTTAAAAAAACAAATGCTTCCTGGTGTTCATCCTAAATTTGCCTTTCACCACTTTAAACTTGTGACCTTTTTTCCTGCTGCCTTGAGCTGTCCAATAGAATTCCAGGTTTACTTTTTCTATCCCATTGAATATCTTGTGTACAATATCTTGTGAGTTTCTCTGTGTCCTTTTGAAACAGAAGACCACGGTTATTATCTTATCATTCCTCATAAATCGACTGTCTAATAATGAGGATCGACCCCATTGCATCGTTTGTTTGTGGAACACTGCTGTGCGCAATTGGCTGCCGCGTTTCACCCACAAATATACAGTCAATTCACTTTACAGTATATTCTGTGAAATGCTATGAGACATCTAGAAGATGTGATGGGTGTAATATCAAATGCAAGGATTATTATTACATTGCTGTGCGCAAATTGCTCCTGTGTTCACCTACAAACACACAGTCACTATACTTTGAAACGTCTTGACAACCAAATGCAAGGATTATTATTGCTTTTCTCAGTACTGCTTCTTGGGTCTGGATGACTGCCTCACATTGTGATGACTTGGACTTCACTCAAATTCTGGGAATCTGAGTCAACTGATTTTGCAATATAGCCAGTATCCTGTTCACTTTGTTCATTGCTGCCTCTCACTGCTTGGACATGCTGAGCAAGTGGTAAACTAACACATCTAAGTCGCTTTCAGTTTTACCTGTAGCAAGTTTAATCTCATCCACAAGTTCAAGTCCAATCTGTTTTTTACTCTATATGTAGCAGTTTGCATTTGTCTGTATTAAACTATATTTACCAGGGATTACCAAGTCTATACCCTGTCATTATTTTTGCATGATCTTGTCTGCCTCTTCTGATTCTGACATTGACCGGTTTACTGATGTCTAGAAATGTAACTAGCTTTCCTTATTCGCACAAGTGCATAAAAGTGTATAAAAGCTTGCTGGAATTAATGTAATATTCCATAGGGATTAAGTCAGGAATCTCGTAAAGTAGGATTTAATGCTTTTGGAAAAAAGTTTTGAAGTGGCCTATTATCGAATGAACTCCGTAGAATTTTATTTGGTCGGTGGATTTGCTTGTGCAGATATCCAAGAAAGACGCAGGGAATTGCTTCTGATTGAGGAAGAGTACCTTTGACAGCAAAAATGATTTACTGAATTGATGGATGTTTGTTGAAAAGTTTCCTTTCACTTCAGACATTTTCACTGACAGACGGCGCCATCCTTACTGCATTCTGCAATCTAATTGTCTTGCCCTCCCTTCGCATTTAACTTTGCCTGAAAACCTTGTTCGAACTTGTTTTACATTGAGAGGCATTGTTTTCTGGCAGAGTATAAAATGTTCAGTACATCGATGGATGAACGTTCCTGGTTACATTCAGAGTTTTGATCAACTTAAGAGCTTGATCAAGCCATTCTGATTAAATGTTTGAAGTGACCAAAACTGTCCTGGCCAGCCCCATCCCACGCAATAAAATTGGTCGTTCACTTTATAGCCGTTTATGGGACATTGCTGTGCCTAAATTGTCGCATTTGCCTACAATCACTGCACTTTACAAAATCATGGGAGGCCATTTATGATATCTTGATGAAGTGATATGGCGCAATATCAATGGAAGTTTTACAATTATAACATTTATAATTATAAAAAACATTTGTGTGCATTTTGAAAAAGAATTCTTTTATACTCTACTGTGTAATCAAGACAGCGTTATTACTGTTCTCTTGTGTTTTTTAAGGTCAAATCGATGCATTGTCGAGGATATTCGGTCAGGAAACAGTGAAACTTATGGATCTGAGATCCTGCGGGATCTTCTCAAAATATTACCAGAACCAGAAGAGGTAAGACTCAACAACAACAACAACAAGATTCCATTTATAGAGCGCCTTTCACGTCAGGAGGACGTCCCAAGGCGCTGCACAGTTGGGTCATGACCCGAGCATTGGGGAAATGGTCAGGGTGAGGGGAGGGAAGGGAGCGAGGAGGGGGGAAATGGTCAGGGTGAGGGGAGGGAAGGGAGGGAGAGAGGAGGGGGGAAATGGTCAGGGTGAGGGGAGGGAAGGGAGGGAGCGAGGAGGAGGAAGAGAGTCGAGAGGGGAGCTGAAGGCACGGTCAAAGAGAAAGGTTTTGAGACCGGCCTTGAAGAAGGAAAGGGAGGAAGCAAGGCGAAGGCACTGGGGGATGGAGTTCCAGAGCCTGGGGGCTGAGAGGCTGAAGGCCCGACCACCGATAGTAGGGCGTCAGCAATAAGTGTGTTGTTTTCTATTAATGCCTAAGATATTGTGAAGAGCCACTTACAATGATAATAGTGTCTTGTCATGTCAGGAAGACAAATCAAAGCTCTTCACAAGATTTTCCTGTAAATGGCAGTGATTGAGTTTTGTAATTGAACATGGCAGCCAATTTGTGTGCTGCAAAAGCAGCCGTGCAGTAAATGACTAGTTTTATCTGAGGTATTGTTAGTCCAGGACACCAAGAGAAATTTTCCTGCTTTTCGAACAGATCTTTAATATCCAATTAGTTTGAGACTTCCTATATATTTGGTAAATAATATAAAATCTTTAACCACTGCTCAAATCGGTATTTTGATTGAACGCGTAGAATATTGTCGTGCCTTGCTTGGCAATCTTCCCGAAGAGTAAATCGCTAAAATAGTGATGCACTAATTTAGATGACTTCATCTTTCCCTAGCAATTTATCCTCCAACCAATTAGCTAATCTATTTAAAGCAAAATTGTGGAACTTCAGTGGCTCCTGTCAATCTGTGAGGAGTTTGAGTTTTAAAGCTGTCAAACAAGCAGATGTTTTAACAGTTGTTCTGGCAGATTATTTGCATTTTACATGAACTGGAAGTGTACAAACTCATCATCATTTCTGACCTCAAGCGAGCTTAGTTCCTCTTCTAATTTCACTAATTACTGCTTACAGAGCGAGATCAGTCTTGATTCAGATCAGTGGATTTTTTTTTATCCCTTCCAAAAACAGTGACTTCACTTAGCAAGTTTCAAATTGTTTTCCAGTAGAATAACTTCACAAACCCTTGGATGTTTAGAGTTTGCTGCCCTTATAAAATCTACCCCTCCCATGTTACATGTCATTGTGCTGATGGTTTGCAAGGGAGTGGGGAGAGAAGGGGAGAATGGAGACAAGTGAGCAACTTCTCATTCAATGTCACCTTTTGCCAAGATTCTTGGAAGTGAGTGTGAATAGTTGAGTTGTTCTTCCTCTTCATTTCGCTACATTTTCTCCGTATCTCCTGCAAGCTGTCTGTCTCTTTCTGTCTCTCCCTCTCCCCCACCTCTCTCTCGCTCTCTCTCTCGCGTGTGCACATACAGAGCATGGCATTTTAAAAGAAAAAGGCATCAGCAAAATGCAATAACTTGAATAATGTGTGTTTTCTTAAAACATTTCTTTTCCTCCCCTCCCTTTCCTTGCGTCTTCCTGTGTCTTTCTCAAAATGTGAAAGGAGCTATATAAATGTAAATTTGTATTGTTTTGGTGGCGAGGGCTGAGTGGCGGTCTGATCCCAGGCAGCTGTCAGTGCTGTTGTCTAGGTGGCTGCCAGAAAGTGGGTGAGAGCAGCTCAAGGTGACTAAGCTAACAGCTGGCCTACATTTAGAGCCTTCACTTCATGCTTCTTCTCAGCAGTGCAGTGGCCAGTCATCTACCAGCACATTGTGTACAGTGGTACCCCATTCAACCAGGCTGAGGGTCCAAGGAATTATTCATGGAAGTCTTGAGTAAAATTATATTTCAGATTCCCTAGTAGCAGAAAAGAGAGGATTGAACCATATAACAGTGCTCCTGTTAGAAAGTACTGTGATCTGTTAAGATGTCAGACTTTCAGATTTCTGCAATCTTTACAAATTTAGAAAGGTTTTGCTACTGGTTAAAATACCTTGGATGCTGGAGGAAATTCATCATTTGTTTTGTGATATGGAGGTTATGAGAAGGTCCACCTTTCACTGAGCGGCTTTTACTGGTGCCTGATGTCTTGAGTTCTACTTGCTCAAGCTCTTCCCTCAAACCCTTGCTTATCAGATGTCAAAGTAGTAACTATCATCCAAGGAGGGGGGAGGTAATCGGGGTCTCCTTGGACCCGAATAGGCTCCAAGGTGACATGTTTGGCAACAGTGTCTGAATTGAGCCAACCCTCTAGTGGTCTCAGTAGTTCACAGTCCTCCAGGGCACTGCTGATGACAGCCTGTTCCATCGGCAGGATTTGGAAGAGCAAACCAATCACTGGGGCCAGAGAATCGTTCCGCTCAGCTCCTGTTAACCCTGCAAGACAAAGCTAGTCAGAGTCCAGCAGCAAATTCTGGGGTCCCCAAGCCTTGGCTCTTTCAACTTGCGCCTAATACTTTCTGGGATTAGGTAAACTGGAGGCTGTCTTGCTTTGGGAAGGGGTGTTGCTGAGCTACAGTGGTGCAGACCTTGAACTACATCTCAGGGTACATCAGATGTGAAATCTCGTTCACTTAAGTCCTTCCTGAAATGAAATTTGAATTGGTTTCTGATTATTATAATAATAATAATCCTTGCATTTGATATAGCGTTTTTCACGTCGGGAGGACGTCCCAAAGCGCTTCACAGAACACACTGTAAAGTGAAATTGATTGTATATTCGTGGGCGAACTTGGCAGCCAATTGCGCACAGCAATATCCCACAAACAGTCGTGGATTGAAAATGACCAATATATTATTGTTTTTTTTGGAGGGATTATTATTAGGCGTGTGGAGTAAGGAAACTTGCCCAAGGTTTCGCCCTGTCTGGAATTGAACTGAGGTCTCTCGCTTGCAAAGCGAGTGCTCTAACCACTGAGCTGCAGGACTCCCCCTGATTATTACCAGTCTGCATCAAAAAACAGCATTAGCAAGTGTTAGATCCCAAATTATTTTCCCATAACATCCAGTTTAGGAACACTAATTCCTAATCTGGAGTTAAGATATTTAGGTTCTTGCCTTTTAAAGACCAGTTAATTTGGGATAAAATGCACATGGGCAAGTACAGTGCATAGTGTAAGTCTTACCTGCATAATACTTCTCAAGAAAATGTTGTTCTTAAACTGAACCTATTATCTTTCCATACTTGTTCCAGCCGAAAGTCAGATATGGGTTGAGACCCCGGATTTGATGATGTTGCGAATGCAGAGTTTCCTTTGTTTGGTTTCTGTTGGACTCAGTTTACTGTGAAAGTGTCTAGTGCTAAACTTAAGAGATTCCTTCACTGGTGCTGGGGTGATTCATTCAGTCTTGGCTTTTGAACATCAATACTGTTCTTAACTTGAAATCCTCATCATGCACAGGTTGTTCAGGCAGCTACTGAAACTTGACAACCTTGCTCGGCAGACTACGTGGTGAAAGAGCATGAATCAGTTTCCAAGTTATGAGAGATCCACGTGAAAGCTGAGTCTTCACATTTCGACTCTTTGAACTTGTAATCTGAAGTTGCTTCCTGTGAAAGCTATGACCATTCTTGCTCCAGGCTCTGGGAGTGGACGCACTTTACTGAGTATGTCACTCAGATGTGGTGGTCCTGAGAGCACGTTAGTTTGTGTTAAAATTGGCAGAGAACCGAATTACTTCTCTTGGGATCAGTTTTGATTTTTGTTATTCTTGGTGAGATTTGAAACAAAATATCTATATCTTGATCTCTTTCTCCACCTCACCATCTTCTATTCCAACATAATCTTGGTGGCCCCAGGCTTCTCTTCTCCACTACCAACTGGCTCCTCCGTCCATTCTCTCCTCCAACTGCGAGGAGATGCTGGATTTCCTTGAGACCAAAATCAAGGGGATCCGTTCGGCCGCCTCCACCCTCCCAACCAGCACCCCCTCCCCATCTCTCCCTCACACTCCGCCTCCTACCCATCCCTCCCTCCACACCTTTGAACCTGCCTTCCCTCCTCCTCATCACTACTATAACCCACATGAAGCCCACCATCTGCTCTCTTGACCCCATCCCTACCCCTCTCCTTACCTTCCAATTCCTCCTCCTCGTCCCTTTACTCTCAGACCTTATCAACCTCTCCCTGTCAACTGGTACCGTTCCTACCCCCCCTAAAATCAACTGTCATCATCCCTATCCTAAAAAAGCTTCGCTGGACCCATCCCTGCTCACTACCTACCGCCCCATCTCCAATCTTCTTTTCCAAGGTCCTTGAAAGAGTTGTTTCCCAGCTTCACTCCTTCCTCTCCTACCACTCCCTTTCCAAACCCCTCCAATCGGGTTTCCGGTTGCTTGGAACTTTGTGGGAGAATGTTTGAACATTAAACGCCACAGGTTTAACCTGCATTGGGATCTTGCTTTCATTGAAGTGTAAGCCCTTGTAGAGATTGATCAACGTAGATGGGCTTCCTCTTGATACATTCTTGATTTTCCAATGATGGCAAGGACCCAAAGCAAGTTAAGCTTATAGTATATGACGTGTGTCCAAACAGTTCTCCTTTATGATATTGTTGAGCAAAATAATCCCTGTATCAGCCATGTGTTCCATTAAGCAAATGATCTAAGTAGGTTTTCTCCTTTATGGTTGGGACTGGGCTTTGAAGGCATTTATAAAAACATTTCCACATATAATTCCACATGAACTAAGCACACGATTTATTTATCTTGCAGGCAAAAAAACTGCAGGCCTTTAAAGGTGACTTAAGCAAGCTGTCGTTGGCTGATTCATTTATGGTCCTGCTGCTACAAGTTCCAAGGTAAGATAATGATTCCTTGCTCTGGAACAATGCCTTGGATTTTCTTTTAATAAGCTCTAAGTGAATATTTGATAAATCTCTTTGCAACCTTGCTGCAGCTTTACTCTACGATTGGAAGCCATGGTTCTTAAAGAAGAGTTCGAGCCCTCCAGTATCACTTTGTACAAAGCAATGGAAACGATGAGAAATGCTGCACAAGGTGAGGTTGATTTGGGCGAATTCCAAAAGTTGAGTCTCCAGGCTCTTCTATTCACTTGAATGAGACCGTGAGTTTATCAGATCCTTGGGACGTTCTCCTGAGATCTGAACAGAAATTTCAGTGTATTAATTCTAATGCGCCACAGGTCAGGAAAGACCTGGGTTCAATATCAATTGTGATATTTTAAAGAGAATTAGATATGTGCAAGAAGATTATAATTTTAAATGGGTTTAGAGCGTTGCAGTGGAAAGATGGGCTGGTCTAGTAAATGGTCTTAATGGCCTCCTGTGCTGAAATTTCTGTTTCTAAATCTTTGCCTCAGTGGGACATTCACACTGTGGCTTCTTGTAGCCAATGAGTTACTGAACACAGTGCTGAGCAGGGACAAGGTGATAGTGAGGGGATATCACAAGCATCAACATCTGGTTGTGTTCTTCCTCCCACTCCAGGGATTGTACACAATGATCTTACAATTACCTTTAGTGGTCATGGTTTTGGGAGGGGAAAATTAGACAGAGCTAACTGATCAGTGACACCTGCTGAACCAGGTATGCATGTGAGATCAGATGAAGACAAGATTGGTCTTGGATTGAGATATCTATGTTGTATTTAACACCCTTTTATGTCTTTCATGAGACCCAACAGGTTGTGTGATTGCACATCTGAAGGTGTTGGTGGCTGTTGCATGATGTCTCACTCTGTTTTTACAGTGTCTAACTGAACTTTGTAATCTTGTTAATGTTTCACAGAATTGATGAGATGTGAAGAGCTGCATGCAGTACTGCATTTGGTTTTGCAAGCTGGCAATATTATGAATGCTGTAAGTGTTTTTTTAATACAATGCATATCGCTTCTAAACATCTTGCATGAAATTCTTGTACATTAACAACTTCTTCCCATCTTTCTCTCATTCTCTCCAGGGAGGTTACGCAGGAAATGCTGTGGGCTTCAAAGTTTCGTCATTGCTGAAGTTGGTGGATACTAAAGCAAACAAGCCAGGAATGAACTTGTTGCATTTTGTTGCTCTGGTTTGTATTCAGACTTATTTTCATAATCATGAATGCTATCGTCAATCCTGTAGTTCATTGTGAAAGACTGTGCGAATAGAGTTCCAGTTGTCCTAAGATTCTAGCTGAAACTGGAAAGCCATTTCCCATTGATAATAATGCCGTGTATTGAATGCAAAAATGGTTAACCTTCATTTGACGTGCACCGTGGGTTTTGTTTTCACTGGCCATTGTTGGTAATGAATGTCTCGGAGTAAACTAATAATATTGACTGCTGCAAAAGGAAGGCGAAATGTGCTTTGATTGTGGATTGTGCTTTTTGTTCTCGTTTAAAAAGAAGGGGGGAAAAAAGTCAGTATCATCAAACTTTCTTTGTCGAATAGGAGGCACAGAAAAAGGACACGGCGCTGTTGGCATTTTGTGAAAGGCTGAAGCATGTGAAGGAAGCATCCAGGTAAGACTAGGTGTTCAGATACTGCCCCGTGTGAAGGGTGCTATATAAATGCAAGTTGTTGTTGTTTAACACTCCAGTCATCCCCCGAAAGTTTTAAAGTTTGTCCAAAACAAAATTTGGCATCAGAGCAGGGAAGAAAAACGCTGTGGCAAAATCACTGAAGAAAATTATAAAAGTATTGAAATATCGATAATCCTTTTTTAAAACCTCCATTTAAGATCTTAAGTGGTGGATTAGTGCAAATCTCTTGCAGCTGAATGTGGACACGGAAGCCATACTCCTTGGTTCCCATCAATCTTTAAGCGCTTTGGGACGTCCTCCCGACGTGAAAAGCGCTATATCAAATGCAAGGATTATTATTATTATTCCTATGGGTCTGAACTCCTCAACTCCCTGGGCTCCCTCTCAGACTCACTGAACCAGTGCACAATCTAGGCGTCCTTCCTCCCCCACCTCCAGTCCCTGACCATGATCGCCTTCCTCCACTTCCGTCACATTGCCGCCACTGACTGTACCTTACCCCAAATGCATCCAAAACCCTCATGCATGCGTTTGTCACCTCCAGCCTGGATTACTCAAACGCGCTCCTTGCCAGTCTCTCCAGCTTCACTATTCAAAAAATGCAGCTCATTCAGAAATCTGCTGTCCGCATACTGACCCAGATCAAACTCTGTATCCTGTCTCACCAGTTCTGGCCAGGCTCCACTGGATCCCCATCACCGAACAAATCAATTTCAACATCCTCACACTCGTGTTCAAATCCATTCACCATCTCACCGTCCAAGGATGCACACTCCACCTCACTGAGCCAGTCCGGAATCTTGGCATCTTGTTTAACCCTCAACTATCTTTTCTACACCCACATTTGTGCCATGAGCCGCTCTGCCTTTCCCCATCTCCGCAACATCGCCCGACTCCACTACTGTCTCACACTGCAGGTCGCCAAGACCCTCATCCACGCTTTCATAACATCCAGACTATGCAAACTCCCTGCTTGTCGGCCTCCGCAACTCCTGGGCTGCAGATCATCCAGAATTCTGCAGCCCATGTCCTCTCCCCCCACCAGGTTCTGTGACCCTATTATCCCCATCCTCGCCCGACTCCACTGGCTTCCCATCACACAGAGGATACAGTTCAAGATTCTGATCCTCACCTTCAAAGCCCTCCATGGCCTTGCTCCCCCCCCCTATCTCTACGACCGCCTAACCCTCAACCTGCACGCTCCCTCCGCTCAACGGGCTCTGGCCTGCTTCACGTCCCCGCCTCGTCCACCCCACCATTGGTGGGTGGGCCTTCAGCCACTCTGCCCCCACTCTCTGGAACTCCATCCTGCAGTCCTTCCGCCTCGCCCCCTCCCTTGCCTCCTTCAAGACCTGTCTCAAGATCCTCCTCTTAGACTGTGTCTTTGATCAACCTCCTCCGTACCCTGCCCTCCACCCTCTCCGATCCCAACCTCCAGTTCAGGTTGGAATCGCTGATTGTCCAGCCCCTTGGGACGTCGCCATGATGTGAAAAGCGCTATACAAATGTAATTTTGTTGTTCACTGGCTGGCACCGCCCTACCTCTCCGACCTCCTCACTCCCCAATCCACCACCCGGATCCTCCACTCGACTAGCACCGGCCTCCTACTCTCCCTCGCACCCTCCATTGGAGGTCGCACTTTCAGCCACTACGCCCCAAAATTCTGGAACACCCACTCTCAATCCCTCTGCCTTTCCCCCTCCCCTTTTTCAAGTCCCGCCTGAAAACCTTCCTTTTCGACTGTTTATAATAATCCTATAATAATCCTTGCATTTGATTTAGCGCTTTTCACGTTGGGAGGACGTACCAAAGCGCTTCACAGAACACACTATAAAGTGAATTGACTGTATATCTGTGGGCGAATGCGGCAGCCAATTGCGCACAGCAATGTCCCACAAACAGTCGTAGATTGAAAATGACCAATTTATTATTGTTTTTGGTTTTGGAGGGATTATTATTAGGCTCTGTGTGGAGTAAGGAAACTTGCCCAAGGTTTCGCCCTCTGCCTGGAATTGAACTCAGGTCTCTCGCTTGCAAAGTGAGTGCTCTAACCACTGAGCTACAGGACTTATGGTCACTTCCCCTGACCTACTGCCTCGGAGTCGGGCTCCACCACTGTTAAGCGCTCTGAGATGCTACCCTACGTGGAGGGCACTAAATATGTGCAACTTGTTTTTGTTATAGTAGCTAACAATAGTTCACACAATTTTTTTTAATAATAGTACTTGCATTTGATATAAGGCCTTATTGCATTGTTGAGATGACTCAAAACGCTTCACAGAATACTATAAAGTGAAGTTACTTTGTATTTTGTGGGTGAAAATGTACTTAAAAAAAGTAAATTGGAGTGTCTTAAATTCTGTACTGCTTGCAAAGTTGCTCAATGCCCCGTGTCGCCTGGAAGTGATGCACACAGACCAGGCATGCCCCAGGTTTCATATCTGTACTGCCGGTTTGAGCTGAGCTTGTTGGTCTCAACTGAGATAGTGGGGGAGGGGAGGTACTGATATTGGCATCAGTTCTCCTTGAGCTTGGGAAAGGAAAGGCTCAGCCAAGCTTCCAGTTCCTGATCACAATCTTGTTGACCTTTGCTAGAAAGTGCATGGGTGTGAATGTTGAGTGAGGCAGGTTCAGGATCAGGCTTGGTAGTGATGCCCCCTGTAATCGCAAAGCCTGTTGAAGCTCACTATTAAGGCGTGAAGAACAACTGACTGATGCTGGTGGAACTCGCCCAGCTTGAACCAGCACTTACAAGAGAGGGGAGGGAGTGGAGCAAAACAGGAGCCCTTAAAATATCTACTGTGTATGAATGTTTGATTTCCGTACTCAAAGGTTGCAGAATTTTAGCAAGATGTGAATTCCTGTTGAGCTCGGTTCCAGTGTCTCAGTGGCAGATTAACACTGTAGTACATAAAAAGAACAGGAAACCGGAGCTCAGTGGAGGAGGAAATGCTGGAAAGTCCGTCTGCCACTTGGCTCCAGAGCAGCCTTGTTCTGACTGATGGTTTACCCAGTGGTCCTGTTAGTGGAGTAGCTGAATTTTGAGCCTAGTTCTCCAGCTCATCCCAATCAGAAGCTGAAGTGTAGTGAAGCATTTGCGTTTGCCCTTATATTCATTTATTTCCATCCCAGAACTGCAGTCTGCTATCTAAACATCAGGGTAACTGGGTTTTGTAATTGTCTGATTGTTCGTGTTGGGTGTGGCTGTCAGTGAAGTGCAACATTGATAAAGGAACAGGCACAGCAAATGGAAGTTGGCCATGTGTCTGGTATTTACTGAGTGCCTGTGGCACTGTGCCATTCACACCAGGAAGGTCCCAGGTTCAATCTCCACTCTGTTCAGCCCTCCACCCTTCCTGATCGCAATCCCCAAGTTGGGTGCAAATCCTTGACTGTCCAGCACCTTGGGACGTCCTCCTAATGTGAAAGGCGCTTTATAAATGTAATTTTGTTGTTGAGTGTTCCCTGCTGGAAAGTGTGGTGTGAATATCTGCTGAGCACATGACTCGGTTTGGCTTTGATATTGTCCTAACAGATCAAGAGTCTATCATCACTGATGGTCTAAGGACTTGAACATGAAATTGAATAGAAGCAATTAACAGGAGAAGGCCACATGTCAGACTGGCTCAGTTGGTAGCACTCTTGCCTCTGATCGTGCTTTCGATCTCCCTGCTCGCCCCCACCCCCCCCACCCACCCGCCACACTAACCACCCCCCAGCTCAGGTCCATAATTTTGTCTGTCCAGCGCCTTGGGACGTCTTCCCGACGTGAAAGGCACTTTACAAATGTAATTTTGTTGTTGAAACAGATGGTTGTAGGTTCAAGCCCCATGTTGGGTCTTGGATCTCAGATAGTCTAAGCTGATGCTTCATTGCAGTGATGGGGATGAGCTGCATTGTTGGAGGTGCTGTCCTCCAGATGAGATGTTAAATCGAGGCCCTGTCTAATAAGAATAATCCTTGCATTTGATATAGCACTTTATCACAACTTCGAGATGTTTCAAAGCAATATACTGTAAAGTGAATTGACTGTATATTTTTGTGGGTGAAATGCGACAGCCAATTGTGCACAGCAGTGACCCACAAACAGTTGTGAATTAAGTAACCAAATTATTTTTTTTGAAGGAATTATTACCCAGGAATTACCACCAATCAACCAATAATGGGGTTCCTACTTACTGCTAGGGAAACAGGTGTGTGGGGTAAGGAACCTTGCCCAACATTTTGCGCTGCCTGGGAATCAAACACAAGTCCTCTTGCTTGCGAGGCAAGTGCTCTAACCACTGTGCTACAGGACTTCTGTTCAGTGGACGCTAAAGATCCCATGGCATTATTTGAAAAGAGAAGGGTGTTTCTCCTGTTGGACTGGCCAACAAACTGCCAAATTAAATTGGTCATTCACTTCAAGGCTGTTTGTGGGACATTGCTATGTGCAAATTGGCTGCCATGTTTGTACAAAAAGTACAGTCATTACACTTTACAGTATATCCTGTGAAGTGCTTTGAGATTTGTAAAAAAAAGTCATACCAATGTAAGGGTTAATAACCATGATTAATCTGGGTCTTAATAAGGAGGGAATTTTTTTTAATACAAGACAAGTGTGTTATATCATAGTCCTCAGACAGTAATGGAATCAACCTATTTACATAATGAAGCTGTCCTTGTGCTTTTATCAAGGTGCAGTTTCCAATCTGTCAGTTATATTGCTATTAATGAATATTTATATTAAAAAAACTGCGTTTAAGATCTTTTCCTATTTGACCGCAATTTCGGTCATCTTTTTCTCCTCCAAACTCCTCAGTAACCTCACCCCTAGTTTGAGCTCTCAGACAGCTGTGTGAAGACTTCCTCCTGATGTGAAAGGCACTGTGTGAATTGAAATTGTCGTCGTCAAACTAAGCATGAGATGGTCTATGTTAAAGCGGGCCCACGCTCTTTGCATGTGAAACTCTGGCTCAATGACGTCTTTCTTTCAGATTGTCAATGGATAGCATTGACGCTGAGCTACGCTCACTGGACACCAGAGCGAGATCGCTGCAAGCCAGTTTGAAGGAAGACATTGAACTGCAGCATCAGATGGAGCTTTTCATTCAGGTGAGTTCATTGTTGAATCATCTCCTCCCTCACCTCCCCTGTGGGCATGTGTGTGTTTGACATCTCTGCCGAGCTGAGGAAATTAATATGCGCACCTTATTGTACCGCACATATCTGGTGACTGGAGATTGTATTCATTTTAAAAGGAGCCCAGAGCTCTAACCCATTGCATTGAAGGCGTCTGTGACAACATGATCATCCAATACAACTGTCTGTTGGTCTGTTGTTAATCGTATTCTCTCTGGACTGCGCCTTACTCGAGTGTCTAAAGTGCTCTTGGCTCTTGATCAAATGTAGAGCGTTTTACTTCAGGTTGGCTGCAGAATGCGAAATTTACCCCTATCAAGTGAGGCGATCAAATCATTCATGGGCCCCTTGTGCGAAAGTTGATTGTTGAGGGATAATTCCTGTGTCCCAACACCTGAGCACAATATTTGTTTTGCAGTAGTAAATAATATTTTGAGTACAAAAGAAATTCAATGCTAAATTAAGACTTTTGTCCCCTCAAAGCATTTGGCATCATGTTAAAAGTGAAGCGTGTAAGATTCTGCTGCAGAAATTAATGGCAGATCCTGACTGCACAACACTGTCAGAAAACATTTTGCTATCTCACCCCAGTGCCTGATTTTCATTTATTTGCCCACATAATGAATGTTGGCAGAAGGTGGGGCATCACAGCCAAGCCTGATGCTCTCCAAAATATTAATCAGAATAAGTTGTGGGATCTCGTTTAAAACAGCTCTGTTGCTCACTGACTAAAAGGATCAAATGCTGCAAATGTTATTGACTCCTGTCTACACGCCAAATATATAAAGTGCACCAGAGCACGAATCTCTTGAGTAAAAGCACCTTTGCCTTCAGTTATTTTGCTTTAATAGGTTGGATTATCAATGTGTTATAAGGAAGGAAAACAACAGGATATGTGTCATTGCACTCTGCACATTTACTGTAACAAGAACATACTGCCATATGTTCAGAGAACAAACGCTGGTGGAATGTAGGGAGGAGGGGGAGAGCGGGTGACTTTGCGGAGGTTGGAGAGACTGTTTAGTAGGAAGATTCTACTCGTAAAAGAAAAACAATTCTCGAAATGATAAAATGATCGTGACCCATGTACCGTACAGCGCGTGTCACATGAGACAAGGTACAGTGCACTGTACCATGCAGCGTAAACAGTCAACACTGAACTTTGACAAATGCAATTCAAATTGTTTGCTATATGACTGAACCTCTTAGTCTATAACTTGGGTTATCTTTATAGGTGATGGTTTTAATATTTGTAAACTTTAGAACAATAAAAGAGAAAGACGAACAGCCCCTTAGATATCTTATTGTTACAGTCTAGAGTTCTTAGTTTCCCAATTCAGTGATTATAAGCATTGACACACAGTTGTTTCAATAAAACTGAAAGTTGATGCAGTCAATATTTCTAGAAAAATTAGAATGATTTTTATTTTCTCCTCTCCCTGAAAACATTTGCCCACAACAGTCACTCCACTTTACAGTAAACCTGTGAAGTGCTTTGCAATATCCTCCTGACATGAAAAGCTCATTTTTCCTTGTGTTGAAGACAGTTCCATGGGTGCCAGTCCCTGTCCCAGTAATTTGCCTTCACAGAGCAATGTTAGTTGGTTATTTACCATAGGGAGTCATTGCAACTGAGGGTGAACCTGTTCTTGCCTGATGGCTATGTGCCTACACCTTCCAGCAAGAGTCTCAGAATGGTAATATAGAGTTGGGTCCTCATTAATTTTCTTCCTGCTTAACGCGGAGTCACTGATGGTTATAATCCTTCCCTTCTCCTCTCTTTCCCCCCCCACCCCCACCCCCAACTGCTCCTCTGGCTCTGAGCAGGAGGCTCAGCACAGGAAGTCAAACCAGTGACAATCTGGTCTGACACTGCACCAAGCATTCTGTGTCGGTGGCCATCAGAGGAAGGATGCAATGTGATTCATCTGCCCCCCCCCCTCCCTCACCCATCCATGGTTAACCAAAGGTGTAAGTACTGTCTGTGTTTCTCTGCAGAATACTTTGAGAGCAGTGGGAAAGCTAGAAGAAGAGCGATTGGAATTGAACCGGGAAGGTAACATTCTAATAGACTTCTTCTGTGAGGATAAAGAATCGATGAAGTTAGAAGAATGCTTTCGGATTTTTTGTGACTTCTGTGACAAATTCAAGAAAGCAGTGAAGGTAAGCCCGTTGCTGAATACTGTCTGCTCCTCCTCTGAGACTCTCCATGTTATTTGGGGATTTCTTTTACTGCAAGACTCTTATAGTCTCCTTGCTCGTGGCAGCAAGTCAATGATCAGACTACCGCACGCAACAAAAGAGAAATTGGCCCGGCAAATGTTTAGAGAAAAGCTGTCACCTTATGGCAGGCAGAAGAAATGATTCTAAATCAATCTGTACCAGCATGGGATGCCAGGAAGTGTAGTTTAATGCTAAAAAGTTTGGCATTGCAGTTATAGTACTGGAACTGTCCATAATTTTGTTTTTACCCCAATAGCAGTAAAAAGGTTATCTGTAAATTATTGCTGAGCTAGGTGTTAAGTAGTTAACTGATGACTCCAGGACAGATCTTGAAACAAAAGAGCCATTTTTATTATTAAAAAAAATTGTGTCACAAAGTGTGCCATTATCCTGCAAAACAGTCACTGGACTCTAGACTTTGGTACATCCTCCTGACATGAAAGGTGCGGCACTAAATGTAAGGATTATTCTTATCAAGATGATGGATTGCAGCAGCTCTATACAGTATTTTGTGGAAAATAATTTTGGCTGTGGGGAAACAAATGGTGGATGTAGTTGCTGAGAGATTGGAATCTTTGTGTCCTACAGGAGAATCGGGAGAGAGAAATTCGAGAGCTCAGTCAACAGCAGAGGAAAAAGGAACTTGAAGAGAAGCGACACTCGTGGGCTGCCGGGGAGCGAAACGGGTTTGGGAGAAGCAACAGTGAAAACGATGTGGAATTCCTCTCCAAGGATGGACTGCAGGACTTGTTTGGACATCAGCGTCCTCGAAGCCCAGGGGATACAAACCAAACTAAAATCAGGCGTAAACGGTCATCCGTAGGCCCAATAATGGATAGACAATTACTGTCATTTTTGCAGGATGCTGGTTCAGGTGAAAAGGCAGAGTTAAACAGCCCATCTATCACTAGGCAAAGGGTATCCTGGAAAGAAACATCAGAAAATCGAGAATTAAGCTCAGGTAATACACACTTGGACCAGAGATTGGCTGCAAAAGGTCTTCGTCGAGCAGCTTCAACTTTGTCTTCTGTTGTTGGGAATAGTAGTAGAAGGCATTACAGCAACCCGGAGACTGGAGACGGGCAGCTATACACCAACATAGAGACTGGAAATAGAAGGCATTATAGCAACCCAGAGGCTGAAGATCAAAGGCATCGTACCAACACAGAGATTGGTGAAAGAAGGAATGATAGCAACACAGAGAATAGTGACAGAAGGCATTATAACAACACAGAGACTGGAGACAGGAACTACAACAACACAGAAACTGGTGATCGAAGGAGTTACACTAGCACAGAGAAAACTGACAGAAGGCATTACAGCGACCCAGAGACTGGAGATCGATTCAATCACAGTGTAAGTGGGCTTGATGTGTACAGGAACAATCCGAATGCAAAAGAGAATCGAGACAACGGAAAGGACATGGAGTGCACAAACTTAAACCAGATGACTGTAGCGATTGAGGGACATGAGCTTATTCCGGGATTGCAAACATTTAGTTGCTCTAAAGTAAACAGCCCATCAGCACAACATGGTGATCTTACATTAATAGACCTGGAGTCACTCGATGACTCTAGTTTGCAGACTCCAATTACTGACTTGAGTTGCCAATCTCCAGCGACGGACTTGAGCTTGCAGACTCCAACTGACTCTGATATAAGTATGCGCTCTCCCAGCCAGAGCTCGAAAGGCCTTCATTGTTCCAACACTGAATCTTATCAGGTTACAAATTCTCTTTCATCCCTCCAAATAGAGGAGGATGTAGGAAGGGCCGAAGCATCTGCAATGAGCCCGGATACCGCAACCTCACCCGGGAGCTTTGCTTCAAACCACGAGTGTGGATCGTTTTGTTTGCCGGGATACAGAGATGATGGCAATTGTTCGGCATCTTCGGAGAGGGATGGAACAAAAGACCTCTGTCATGAGGCTGAGATGGAATTGCACGAGGTATTTGATAAAAAGGAGGACTGTATTGCTGATCAGACAACGGTTTGCAATGATTTGGAGGGAGCGCCACTTGGTAACGCTTCTGTTTCTGTGCCTGAAGAACTTGGCGTTCAGGATGTTCTTGCCCCTGATGCAGGCTCCATCAAAAAAGATTCACGCAATGAAACCAAGAAGGTTTCCAATTTGAAGCACCTTGGTGCTGCTAAAGAGAAGGCAAGGGTCATTCCGAAACCAACGGAGCTTTGTGTCATCAGTGCAGTTCGTTCAAAATCTCCAAGGACACAAAAGCATGTTAATAATAATGAGCAAATGCGAAGGGTTTTACCAATATCAAAATTGCCTGAAAGATCGAATAATGATAAGAGAACAGAAAGGAAAGTGTTGAGTGGTAATGAACTGAAGCCACTTCAAAAGATCTCAGGATTACATAGGAAAGGCAGCCATTCGAAGACTCATAAAGCCGGCATTCCTGTCCTGGGTGCAAAGCCATCGTATGGGAACTCTGCCTCAGGTAATTCATCAATGGCTCTGCCAAAGCGTCGAGAATCACTGAGAAAGCCGTGTGCTAAACCCATCCAATATACTCCCAGACTGAAAACTGAGGAAAACACTAAGATGTGCCGCTCGTCAGTGCCAGGTGCATCCAAGCCTGACCTAGATGCAAGTAAAGTGGCACAACCAACAGGGAGAAAGAGCACAACTGTGCCAAATCGCACACCGAGCTTTGCCAGGAACACTGTGGCCTCCTCTTCTCGGCGTAATAAGACAGACTCCAAAACAATGGCAGATGGACCTCAACAAGCCTCCAAATTGGTGGCTCCTGTCAGGATTCCTTCACTAAAGCAAATTGTGAGTAAGTGTGGGGCAGGCAATGCCATGGGCAGCGAAAATGGACGTGTGAAAAGAGCAAACAGCCCAAAAGTGGCCAGCAACCTCCCAGAGCCAAGCCGAGTCCCAGTGTACAAAGCACAAGCCACTTCCACAGGGAACAGACGTTCACTGAAGTCCACAGAAAGTAGGCCAAATGTAGGAGCAGAGAGCAATGGAAATCGGATAAGTCCAGGCAGCATAAAGTGGAAATGAGATTCTTTCATCGAGTGTAGATGATGGTCAGAGCAGATTAAAAGTGATGGACAAAATTTGCTGAACTGGAATCCTCTCTCTCTCCGAACTTGCATCCACTTCAGCTTTTCATTGGCTTCACGTTGAGGCTATCTGATAACTCATGACTGCAGGAGCCCTGGATACGCTGCCAGAGGGCCCGAGAGTTGAATCCCAGCCAAGATGGATGCTCAAGAGATTGCTGCTCTGAGTAGATGAGCGTTGCTGGTGTTTGGGCGAGCTGCTAGGCGAAGCGAGTTGTGGCATTGGAAGGAGGAGAAACTGCCAGAGTGGCCTGTCAGACGTGGCAGTGGCAATGTTGAATTGAACTGCAGAGCTGTCCACAGGCTGGACCCCTTCCGCTGCCTGCCCACCTGCCAGTCCACCCTTTCTGCACCTTTTTCCCCATTCTTCCCCCCACCAAGCTCCCTGAGGAAATAGGAGATGGGAGATGGAGACCAAAAGGACAAATGCTATATTTAAAGAAAAAAAAACAAGTAATAAAAATAGGAACTGGATTTTGCATTCAACTGAATCCAAACCAGTGTGAACCAACATATAAATCGATGGTGACTTGGTTGATTGCTTGGGAGAGAGAAGTGGTGTGTAATGTTTTGTTGAACTGGAGAGCTGCTTCCTGTAATGAATTTTGATGTATTATGTGACACTGTCAAAGCCACTCCAGCTTTTTCAGTGATTTTTTTTCTCCCCCTCTCTTTCTCTTAAATTGTCTGTCTTCAAATTTCCTGTAAGGTACATATTTAACATTGCATTGGCCTGCTTTTTGTTTAAGGAGTAAGAGAGGTTATTGCTATGAAGTGTATAGATAGCAGTGAATGAAGAGGTGTGCTGAAATTTCCACTCGATTACTTAAACTGCAGCACCGTCATTTTTTTGTATTGTGATATGTATAACGTATACAATACAGACTCATAGGAAAGTCTGTGTAGCTAATGCATAGGAATGTTAGCTGGTGACTTGCCAGTAAAACCCATTGATGGGACTTGCCATCATTTGTTCAGTTGCTTCTCTTCAGGTTCTCTGTTTTGTTAGGCTGTGCAGAGCAGAGTTTCAGATCCATAAAGGCCACAGTTTGTTGCCACATTGTGCTGTGTAACATCGTTTTGAAATGCTCTGAAATTCTATAGCTGTAAGAAATGGCCACCGTTATGGATGCCATGTGCAATGTGACGGAAAGTGGAGCACTGAATTTTGTGGATGATAATGATCCATTCATCGTCGAATGTTAGATGATCAATCATTTTTTCAGCACAGAGTGCACTAAAATGCATCCCTTTCATAATTAACAGTGCCTGTGTAAATACTGGTGCATGTCATCTATCAAAATATACATATATTGTGTGTGTGTATATGTGTGTGTGTATATATATATATATAGAGAGAGAGGTGTGTTGGTGCATACATGTGTATGGGTGAGTATGTGTGTGCATACACTCTCTGTTTCTTCAGTCTCGGTTTGACGCTACAAAATCTGTTCATCTGTTTACAGTGGCTTCAGCTATTCATAGCTCTTTTCTAGGGACAGCAAGAATAGGCATGTTCTCACCCTTCATTCAGGTCATGTGTTTTTGTTTTTCCCCAAATGAGGAATTGTACCCTGTCCCTCTCCAGAGGGTATATTCAGATGTTTAAGAAAATGTTTCTTCCCCTATTGGACGTGTCACTGGCCCACTTGGAGACTGTGATAAACTGACTCTGCTCTAGGTGAGATGGAGCAAGTGACTGTAATCTGCTACCTTCACGTATGCTGGGAAAAAGAATTGTGATCCATGTTGATGCCAATTTTTGAAAATGTCAACTAAACACACGCACATAATTGGAAGATTGTCGAGATGAAGGAATGCTGTTCCTTTTAACTTTCTCCCATGTACACACACACCCGCCCCACACCTCCCCATGTCTGTAAATAAATTGTTCTGGAAATGAATCATTCTATGTCATCAACTGGACCAAATTGTGTTAAGTGTGAATCTGGCAAATCAAGATACACTTGATCAGTCCATGAGTAACCACCTCTCCCTCCTTCCATGTCCTTTGTGCATTTGCGTCTTGTGTATGAGATTCTGACAGCTATTTGTTTCTTTAGTTTTTTTTTGAATCATGTACCGTTCAGTTCTGATTGTTGTGTAATGGAGGCCAGTGTGTTTGGGGCAGGTGCTTTATTTTATTACCTTTTTATTGGTATCTGTCTGTCCCATGTTTTAAAGTACTAACGGTCACTTCAGCTTGTAATATAATGTTAATTTTCGAACGAAAGAGATGCATCTTTGTAAAATTGAGATGAGGTGTTGTACACAGGAACATTTGCACGTCTCCTCATAACTTCTGTTCAGTCAAGTATTAAAAAGTCAATGCTGTCTCATTGAATGTCGTCATCTCTTTAGTGGGCGGTTAAGTACCATCGCTGCGTGACTACATTACTGAGAGGCAGCAACAATTTGCTGTGTGGTTGATGTTTAGCAAAGTGTTGTATAACACAGGCACAAACTAAGATATAGTGGTACTTCATAAATGCCAGGAATGGAAATTTTATATTCTGTTGGCACATTATGACCCAGGTCGCGGATTTGTAAAACCATCCAAATCCTTTGCGAGCCCTTGATTAACTAATATACTTTTATACTATATACAAAATTTCTGCGCGCTGCCTTCATTTCCAGGTCACAATTCTTTTATTAAATGCTATAAAGTTATAATTTTGCTGCTGTGGTAGGTCTGTCATCCGCCCTTCTTAAATAACTCACACGTGCTCTCGCTAGCTTCTCAAATTACTGCCCTATCGGTTCCTGCATCTGAACGTCAACAAAACTGAAGGGAACTTGTTTGGTTCTGCCTTATATAGATACCTATGTATCTGGTTCCAATTGCATCAACTTACATAGCTGCTTGTTCAGGTTGAGCCATTGGGTACCCAAGGAGTCTGGCTTGACTCTTGAGTTTGAAACTCCACATCTGGTCCATCACGCGTGACCACCTCCTACATCTGGAACATTGCCACTCAACCCCACTTTCTGCTGAAACCCTTCTCCAGGCTTTTGATATTGAGGATAGGCTCCCCCACCACTACCCAATGCGCTTCTCACCGGTCACAAAAACTTTTATTTCCATAAGTTTCAACCAATCAAGAACTTAGAAGCCTGAGTTCTCTCCTACACAAGTTTCCACATACCCAATAACTCTATCCTTGCCAAAGTGTTTGCCCCTAGTACCTCAGGGGATCAAATTTAAGATAATTGCCTGGGTTTTGAAATCCCTTCAACTTCTTCTCACCTTAGCTATTAAAACTTCTTCAGCCTGATCTCTTCGCTATTTTTGGGGGTGGGGAGGGGTCAGCCGGGGGTCTGACACATGCAGAAATTATGACACATACTTAGAAGTCTCTAAACCAAACTGAGAATTCCACTATTCTGCCTCTGATTTTCTTACAAGTTTTCTCTGCTCCACCATCAGTTTTCACTCACCAATGGCCCTGGGAACTTGTGCCCAAAACTGCTTTCAAGACCATTGTCTTAAACTGAGTCCAAGAATTTCATACAATTCTTCATTGCTTTTTAAGAGCTGGTTAGTATCTCTCATGCAGCAAGGATTGTACGTTTAGTTTCTTCCCACTCGAGCACAAACCTGCAGACCACATGGTAAGTAGTGATACCTCCACCACCAGCCTTTTTGCTAATGCCATCCTGTAGCAGGTCACCTGGATGTGACTCATCCACTTTCACTCTCCCAACCCTGTTTCTCACTGGAAAAATAAATCCTCACTGCTCCGAGTTCCATGTACCTGACAGGTGACCCCGACACTGATTCTGAGCCCAGTCACTGAGAATTGCAGCGTGTTGGGCAGCTATTTGCTCTGAAGAAGGGACTGTGTACAAACTACAAGGCGGGATAGCAGTGATGGGATGAACCACATTTGCCAGCTCTCACACAGTTATTTGATCGAGTAAGATCACAGTGTTATTGTGGGCAAAGATCATGAAATATAAACAGCACGGGCTGCATGTCATGAAGCCCTTTCAACGCTGAACTGATTGTTTGGCTGAAAAAAGTGTTTTTTATTTCCCCATCCTTGTTTTTTTTCATCCAATTTTGGCACAATCTGTCTACGTATAATGCTCCAATTGTCTCGACTCCGTCTATAAACCAGATTCTGTGACAGGGTGTGGAACTCCTTGTGACCTGACTAGATTTCTCTGTCTCTGTTTTCTTCTGTGAAATTGATGTTTTTTTTGTGCTGCTGTTTTTTTTTTAAACCGCGTCTATTATAATGCAAGACTCGTACCACAGAGAACAAGCACTTCTCCTTGTGTGGCTGCTATCTGTATGTCCGGTTGGTGAAAGCTGCTCTAATGGGGAAAACAGCGTTAGTCAGGTTGATGTTTCGATAAAACACTAATGGAAATCTAAGCCCCAGTCAAATTAACTGCTTACGAACTGCAGTGCCATAATCAAAGCGCTTGGAACTGTACCCCTTTTTTGTGGAGTCTTAGTGGTTAGAGCACTCACCTCACAAACATGAGCGCCTGGATTCACTTCCAGGGCAGGGCGAAACTTTAGGCAAGTTTCCTTACTCCACATGCTTCTGTTTACCTAGAAAGTAGGAACCCGGTTGATAGTTGATTGTCGGATCATTTTTCCGGGGTTAATAATCCCTTTTTTTAAAGTCCACTCAATCCACGACTGTTTGTCGGACATTGCTGTGCGTAATTGGCTGCTGCATCTCACTCACAAAATATACGGTCAATTCACTTCACAGTACATTCTGTGAAACGTGTGACACTGCGAAGCGCTCTGTGATAAGGCACTATATCAAATGCAAGTATTATTACTATTATTTTGACACCGTGCCACATTTGTCTGCTCCATGATGACGAGACCTTTGGATGGAAAAAGGCCCAGTTGATCTTATCTTTCCAGACACCCACCTTGCATTATAGCATCAAGCTGCTTTTCAAATGAGTCCAGTGTCTGGCCTCAACCCATCTTCCTGCTGACCTACTCCAGCTGCTCCTCCACTAAAGGCATAATTCCTTGTGAATGCCCTAAAATTCCTGTTCACGAACCTGTTCCCTCTTGTCTTGCTGTTTCAGCATTTTCCATGTTTAGTTTTCAGAATATAATTACTTAATCTTTGTGTGTGCTAGCTGCTCGAGGTGAGAGTTACCAAACAAAACTACAAGGCACTGTATTTAACGCATTAAGTCCAACATGTGGAAAAAAACTGCACTCCAGTTTATGACTTGGGAGTGCTGTTTTGAAAGGAATTATCTTAACCTGGTAATCACTGTGCCTATTAGAAATCCAGAATAAACTATTTAGAGTTGAAGCCTTTAATGGCAGAAATGAAATTTCAGTGTCTCTTTTACAGCTATCTTAGAAATAGTAGCCACTAAAAGTGAAACTCTGGCATATTGTGCACATGGGAGGGATGGAGGGTGGGTTTGAACAGGGAGCGTGTGGGGAAAGAGGAATATGAGAGAGATGTTGCTAGGTTGATGTGAGGGAAGTCCTATTCAGAGCTGTATAATCCCTCCAAAACCAAAAACAATAATAAATTGGTCATTTTCAATCTACGACTGTTTGTGGGACATTGCTGTGCGCAATTGGCTGCTGCGTTCGCCCACAAATATACAGTCAAATCACTTTACAGTGTGTTCTGTGAAGCGCTTTGGGACGTCCTCCCAACGTGAAAAGCGCTATATCAAATGCAAGGATTATTATTATTATTACCCCATGGAACAGAGTGGTTGGGTGAAAACCACGGTTGGATTGAATTTGTGCGGACTGTGAAGACAGCAGGTGACGGACGCCTGAATGGTGTTTTCTCTAGTGAGATATTAAAGCAGAAAGATATGGGTGGAGTGAAGGGTTCAACAGTTTAGGGAAGTAGGATCTGAAGGCTTAACCACCAATTGTGGCATGGAAAGGGTGGGAAATCCGCAGTGAGTCTGAATTGGCCCAGCAGAGGAGTTGTAGGGTAGGATAAAATCAGAAAGAAAAAGAGGTGCTAGGGCATGGAGGCATTTGTAGATGGAAGGCCTTGAAATCGATCCCCTGGGTAAAGACCATGGTAGATTTGGCTTGATGCAAACTGTTAAGGGAGCAGGGTTGATGGTGTTTTCTCACCTTGCGCTGCATTCCTATTTAGTATTATTACAGATAACTTGGCCATTCACCTCCTGGCTGTTCGTAGTATGTTGTTGGATGCAAATTAGTTGCTGGGTTTGCTGACAATTACTGCCACCACCTCATGTCAGAACAGTGTGAGGCAACAATAAATAAGACAAGCCAGATGCTTGGCTATATTACCAGACAGTTGAGTTCAGACCCAGAAATCACACTCGGACTGTATACTGCTCTTGTTAAGCTGTGAGTACGGCGCAGTAACCAGAAAGGGCTGCTTAGGCTGGAGAGGGTGTGCAGAGAAAAGCAATGAGCATGATTCCTCTTTCTCCCCCAACACCCTAACGCCCCCCACCCCGTCCGTCGGTCTCTTCTGTCCCCATTAGGGGAATGAGCTATCATCTGAGCAACAATTTAGACAAATTAGAACTATTCAGTCCTGAAAGAAGACTTCTCAGAGGGGACCTAGTAGAGGTTTTATAGAGGTATTAAACGAGGTGAAAGTACAATATTTTCAGATGTGCTGAGCCAGCTGAACAAGACGGCACAGGTTTAATATTGCAAAGGACAATTTCAGAAAGGACACTAGGAAGTATTTATTTATCCAGAGAGTCTCTTTGAAAGGCAATTTGAACCGAAACTCTGGACTCGTTTTTTGAAAGAAAGGGCTTAGTGCTGTAATGAGAGGACAGTAGGGTGGGTGTTCTGGAAGGATGAGATCAAATGGGCCAAAGGGCATTCTTTATCCCAACCTCTCATGTGATCTGAACACTAATTAATTTGGAGAGCTTTTAAGATGTAACAGCATTACAGGCACTACATCAAAATGAAGGATTATTGTTCTAACTAATTTAGAAATAGCATGCAGTGGTGGACGATATGTGTTCTGAGGCAAAGCCAACATGCCAGAGAATGTAAGCCTTTACTTGGGAAATAGCTTTGACGATCATTTAAATAACAATTTTCACTTTAAAAGCTTTGGACAGTTCATTGCAACAAGACTGAGAGCTTCTGCAAGAGCTTAAATTGGTGCGCGGCTAGGAATTCTCGTTGACTTTGGTCCGGGCTGAATTCACTGATCTCAGCCTCTGGTCCCACATGGCTATTTTTAAGAGAAATGGATCAATCAGCCAGTTCTGCTGTATCTTATTCCTGAGCAAGGGGGAGAGGAGAGGCGGAAGACGGGATGAGGAGGTGGTTCTAGGTGTGTTTGAAGGAGAAATTTTAAGGGGGGGCA